CGCACGAGTGGAACCTCGCCGACTGGACTCGCCTCACCCGTTCTCCTGATTGAAAAGAGAATGCCCACTTTACTTATCGATATGCCGAAAGTGGAGAATTTGACTTGCGGAACAGGTCAACCTGCTCAGCGTGGTCGTCGAAAGCCATTGGTGTGGAAGCGAAGGCATCCATGGTTTGATAGACAATGGTCTCTTGATCTCAAGCGTGCAAAGAAGGGCCCCTTAACACCACAGTTTCCTGAGGGTGTGCCATTCACTGCGATTCGGTCCTTTCAGTCCTTTGCCGGGAAGTCCTGGAAAATCAATGCAGGGCGTCGTAGGAAGATTCGTCTTTCCCTAAAACGGGGTCGCCGAAAACTTTTATAGGCTTTTTTCCCCCAAAGCAATTTGTTCATCTGATGCTTTGAATGGTGCGTTCTTTTTTTTTTAGTCGTTTCTGTCGTTGTTGTTGTTGCTGTAATTTTGTTTCTTTGTTGTTATTGGCGATGTCAGGGAGGAGATAGACTTTTATATTTGCGTTTTCAATGATTTTTGAATAATCATAGAGTTTTTTTGTGATTTTTTGTTGTTGTTGTTATTTATTTATTTAGGTTTGTATTTGCATTTTATTAGTATTATATTTTATGGACGTCTATCCGCATATGAAAATGATGAAAAGGCCTTTTTGTATTTTGGTGCTTTTTCTTTTGACATCGAATGTTGTGTTTTGTGAAAGGTGCTCTCGCGTGACTCAGACGTTGCAATGTGGAGATTTGGCTTGTGATACTGATCGTGGCGTTTGCGTCCCTTGTAATACATCGGCTGATTGTTATCCTAATGCCATGGAATGTAAGGAAGGAAAGTGTGTTGTTAAGAGCTTTGTCAGCAACTTTTCGGCCCTTTATGTTGTGGCACTCCTTTGTTCGGTTGCCGTTTGTTCCATTGCTGTTTTGGCTGGTGTTGGAGGTGGCGGTATTCTTGTGCCCATGTTCTGTTTGCTCATGGGGTTGCCGATGGATTTTGCTGTGGGGTTATCTCAATCTACTATATGCGGACAAAGCATTTTGAACGTGCTCATTGCCATTCGGAAGCGTTTTCCTTGTGCTGGATGCTCACGTCCTTTGATCAATTATCAGTACCTGACTCTTCTTGTTCCACTCGGTGTCATTGGTACTCTCATTGGAGGAGTGCTGAACAGGTTGTGTCCAGATTTGTTTCGTTTGGTTTTACTGTTTCTTCTCCTTACGGCTGTTTTGTATCGCAGCGTGCGAAAAATGATTGCACAATACCGGGAAGATCAGTCTGAGAGGAGAGGAACGAATACGGTTTCATATGCAGAAGAAGTTAGCGGAACACCAACATTGAATTCACATGAAGAAATTTTTCACGTTACCCAACCCCAGTATCCATGGATAGAAATTTCATGTG